AAATGCCAATAAAGTTTGAGGCCAGTGGCAAAAAGTGTCTCCTTTTCAAAACTAGAGTACAGCTTGTTATTGATTTTTACAGCCAATGCTCTAGATCCACCCAATCACCTTTACAGGGCTCCAAAGATGCCCCCCACCTTGACTGGTGCCCGTGGTGGTTCCTCTGGAGGAGACTGTACAACTGTGCAAGACTAAAGGGAACGCCGGAGTTCTGCTTTAATAACATAGCTTAAAAACACTGATAACTTCATCTCCTGACAGTAAAAAAAAAAAATCATCTCGTTCTTAGCTAGTCAAACTGATATCTACTGTAGTTCGTGTGGGTCATTCCATACCATTGCTCTTTGCCTGGGTCTTTTGATTGTGATATTGTTGGTCAAAACTGTGCTCTTAATTAATTGATGAATTTATATTCTTTATTTTTCTAGGTTGAGATGTCCCTCTTGCGGCAATGCTACAAGGACCTGTCCTCACAGATAAACCTCATCTTGCTGGAGAGGCTGTGGTATGTCATGCTGGAACAGTTTCTCATGAAGTACGTATGGAGCGCCTCCGGCCTTGTCATGGTAGCCGTTCCCATTATCACAGCTACGGGCTACTCGGAAAGTGGTAAGAAGATGGTTGCTGTGTGTAAACATTGAACTTGATTTTTATACAAAATAAAGAGATTAGGCAAATATTACATTTACGTATATCTGTCCCAATCATTTTTGGTGTGGCTTAGGATCTCCTAGACCCATTATCTGTCCTGATAATTTTTGGTGTGGCTTAGGATCTTCTGGACCCTTCAAAGAAGGGTCCTCTACCTGTTCTAATCATTTTTGCTGTGGCTTGGGATCTCTTGAACCTTTCAAAGAAAGACTCAATATCTGTTCTAATCATTTTTGTTGTGGCCGGCAAGCTTCCAAACCTTTCAGAGAAAAAGACCCTATATCTTTCCTGAACATTTGTTTTCTGGTGTGGCCTAGGAGCTCCAAAACCTTTCATAGAAAGACCATAAAATCTGTCCTGATCATTCAAAAGGTTCAGGAGATCCCAAGCCACACCAAAAATGATCAGGATAGATTCTGCGTATTTCTTTGAAAGGTTTGGGAGATGCCAAGCTACACCAGCAAAGTTATTAGCACAGATACATGATTTTTCTCTCTTAAAGGTTTGAAAGCTTTGATATTAAGTCTTTTGATGAGTTCAGGAGATTCCCAGGCCACATCAAAAGAGACCCAAATTCTTAATTGATCATTTTTGGTGTGGCTTGGGACCAGTGGAACCTTTACTAGAAAGACCCAATATCTGGGCTGATCATTTTTGTTGTGGCTGTTGAGCTTCCAAACCTTTCTGAGAAAAAGCCTATACCTGTCCAGATAATTTTTTTTCTGTGATCAGGAAGCTTTCAGAGAGAAAAATCCTATATCTGTCCTAATCATTTTTTCTGGTGTGGCTTGGTACCTCCTGAAACTTTCAAAGAAGTGCTCTTTACCTGTCCTGATCTTTGGATCTCTTGCTTGTGGCTTTGGATTTCTTCAAAGAAGGACCCAATATCTGTTCTGATAATTTTTGTTGTGGCCGGCAAGCTTCTAAACCTTTTAGAGAAAACCCTTATATCATTCCTGATTGTTATTTCTGGTGTGGCCTGGGAGCTCCCAAACCTTTCAAAGAATGTTCCAGAAAATGATCAGGACAGATATCTTGTCTTTTTTGGTGTGGCCTGGGATCTCTAAAACCCATCAAAGAAAGACCTAAAATCTGTCTTGATAATTTTTGAGGTGGCTTGTCTGTCCTGATTATATTTGCTGTGGCCGGCGAGCTTTCAAACCTTTCAGAGAAAAAAATCTATATCTGTCCTGATTATTTTTGCTGGGATCAAGAAGCTTCCAAACCTTTCAGAGAGAAAGACCCAACATATGTTCTGATAATTTTTTTCTGGCGTGGCATCTCCTCAACCTTTCAAAGAACGACCCAGAATCTGTCCTGACCATATAAGGTGTGACTTGGGATCTCATGAACTCTTCAAAGAAAGAACCCAGTATCTTTCCTGATCATTTTTGGTGTGGAACCTTTCAGAGAAAGACCCTACATACTGTATGTCCTGAGCATTTTTGTTGTGGCCGACAAGCCTCCAAACCTTTCAGAGAAACCGCCTATATCTGTCCTATTTATTTTTTCTGGTGTGGCCTGGGAGCTCCCAAACCTTTCAAGGAAAGACCCAATATAAGTTCTGATCATTTTTTATGTGGCCTGGGAGCTCCCAAGCTTTTCATAGGGAGGTCCTATATCTGTCCAGATAATTTTTTGTTGGCCTGGGTGCTCCCAAGACTTTCAGAGAATTATCTGGCTCAAATAATTCATACGTAATTCATTTGGGAACAGTGCTGCATGATGGAATAATTGTCAGTCAAACTATCACAGCACTGAAAATGTAAAAACGGCTTCATAATGAAAGGTGTGTTACAGGCTTGGTACTCAAGTGGTTAATGAGGAAATGATTCTGGCACTAAAGTGGTTAACTCTTTGACAGGTCCACCATTAAACTTGATGCCAAAATTATTTTGCATTATTTGGAAAAATGGGACAGTATCTGGCCACACGTACAGTAGATGAAGGATATATGGGATTGTCAGAGTAGACATCTACTCCATGCAATATGTGTTAGTGATCCTTGTTCCCACTAGATGTAGAGAATAAAAATCATAAGTAATGGAAGATATTTTCGTGATGTCCTCATGTTGTGAATTTTTTTTTTTACCAGCTGGGACATGCTTGGTTGTTCCTTGAGGGGACTTATGGTTTTGCAGCACACAGTACACTGAAAGGGAACGTAGTAGGGGAGGTGGATCAGAGTTTGTTTTCCAGTTATGACATGTTCATGCATTTTAAAAAGGTGGTAATAGAACCTGTACTCAAATATTAAAGCAGATCTCCAGAGTGGAAACAAAAAAAATAATAGAGACTGTTATTAAAATGAGGGGAAGGATGTACACTGGGGACCCAGTTATAAAGGTCTAAAAGATCCTTTTCCCTAAGCTATGCAAATCTAGAATAAAAATGCTGTGGTTTTAATGCATTTTGGAAGGTTAATGTTTACTCTGGTTTAAAAAGGAAAAAAATGTATTCAATATGTTTTTCTTATTTTCCAAATAAATAAAACCTGATCCCTGTAAGCTCCCTTGCTAGTGTTAAATGGTACATCTCAACTCTCTTCACCTTCTATTTTTGCTGGCCTGTTAACCTCTTCCCGCCGGCGTAACGCATATACACTATATTGCCAAAAGTATTGGGCCGCCTGCCTTTACACGCACATGAACTTTAATGGCATCCCAGTCTTATTCCGTAGGGTTCAATATTGAGTTGGCCACGCCCTTTGCAGCTATAACAGCTTCAACTCTTCTGGGAAGGATGTCCACAAGGTTTAGGAGTGTGTCTATGGGAAGGTTTGAGCATTCTTCCAGAAGCGCATTGTGAGGTCAGGCACTGATGTCGGACTAGAAGGCCTGGCTCACAGTCTCTGCTCTAATTCATCACAAAGGTGTTGCAAGCCAGTCACGTTCCTCCACCCCAAACTCGCTCATCCATGTCTTTATGGACCTTGGTTTGCGCACTGGTGCGCAGTCATGTTGGTACAGGAAGGGGCCATTCCCAAACGTTTCCTACAAAGTTGGGAGCATGAAATTGTCCAAAATGTTATGCTGACACTTTAAGAGTTCCCTTCAGTGGAACTAAGGGGCCAAACCCAACCCCTGAAAAACAACCCCACACCAAAATCCCCCCTCCACCAAACTTTATATTTGGCACAATGCAGTCAGGCAAGTACCGTTCTCCTGGCATCCACCAGACATGTCCATCGGATTGCCAGACAGAGCAGCGTTATTCGTCACTCCAGAGAACACGTCTCCACTGCTTTAGAGTCCAGTGCCAGCGTGCTTTACACCACTGCATCCGACGCTTTGCAGTGCCCTTGGTGATGTAAGGCTTGGATGCAGCTGCTCGGCCATGGAAACCCATTCCATGAAGCTCTCTATGCACTGTTGTTGTGCTAATCTAAAGGCCACATGAAGTTTGGAGGTCTTTAGCTATTGACTCTGCAGACAGTTGGCGACTTCTGCGCACTGTGTGCTTCAGCATGAGCTGACCCCGCTCTGTCATTTTACGTGGCTTACCACTTGGTGGCTGAGTTGCTGTTGTTCCCAGTTGCTTCCACTTTGTTATAATCCCACTAACAGTTGAGCGTGGAATATTTAGTAGCAAGGAAATGTCACGGATGGACTTATTGCACAAGTGGCAACCTATCACGGGACCACGCTTGAAGTCACTGAGCTCCTGAGACCCATTCTTTCACAAATGTTTGTAGAAGCAGTCTGCATGCCTAGGTGCTCCTTTGGCCATGAAGGTGATTGGAACACCTGAATCCAATGATTTGGAGGGTGCCCTAATACTTTTGGCAATATAGTGTATGTGGCAGTAGTTGGTGGGTGGGCCTTAACACCCAGCCATAAAACATATGCATTGAGAGGGCTTCAAGGTTCTGTGCTGAGAGCATGCTCTCTGAGCACTCCCAGCACACTGACTGAGCTGTCACTGACAGTTCCTAGGCACTGTTTGTGATCGGGTGGCAGAGAAAGGGGCTCCCAATCGTGTGACTGTTGTGACAGCCAATCACAGGGATCACGTGATTGGAAAGTGGCCTTTCAGGAGTGGGTAAAGGAAGTGGAAAAATAACTGACTTACTGGCAGAATCAATAGGTAATAAAAGTATGGTACGGGGGGACTCAGAAAAACAAAGACTGATGTGTACACGCTACTGACTTTATTATATATGTCTTTTTTTTTTTTTTTGCTCATGGTTCCACGCGTAACTATAAATAAAGATGATGCCTGTTTTTTATCAGTGACATCTAGCTGTATTATGTACTGCAGATTCGGAGGAAGTGAAAAAGGCCGCCATGGAGATGAAGGAAGAGGAATTGGTGAGTGAACGAGCTGAAGCTTTCACCACTGCGAGGAACCTTCTGACAGCTGCCGCTGACGCCATCGAAAGAGTCATGTCCTCTTATAAAGAGGTGAGGAAGAAATATAAATAAATATATATATATGTGTGCAGTTGCTGCAAAATTCATATTGTTATATGGATTATACGGTTATTTATTCTTTGCAGCAATGGCAACTAATTTGTAGAGAAATTTTGCAAGATTCTTGTCCCTGTGCTTCTGTAACTGCATTGCTGTCTTTAGCAGGAGTCAACATAGATCTGGATGTGCATTGTAAGACATCCTTAGAAATGTCGTCAGTTACCACACTAAAATGGGCCATATATAACAAGCGGCCATAACATTATGAGTACCCACCTAATATTGAGTAGCCCCCACTTTTGTCACCAAAACAGCTCCTTTTACTGCCCAAAAAGCCCTGACCCATCGAGGCATGGGTGCCGAGGTGGGGTGCCTGTGGATCAGACTTGTTTTTCAAGCAAGTCCCACAAATGCTCGATGGATTAAAATCTGGAGAAGTTGAAGTCCAAGTCAACATCTTGAACTCATTTTGCTCAAACCATTCTTGAACCATTTTTGCAGAGTGGTATCCCAGTTAATGAGGCCACTAGGGGATACCATTTCCATGAAGGGGTGTACTTGGTCAGCAACAATGTTTAGGTAGGTGGTACATGTCAAAGTAACATCCACATTAATGGCAAGACCAAGGTTTCCCAGCAAAGCATTGTGCAAAGCATCACACTGCCTCCTTCGGGCATCTTCCCAAAGATCATCCTGGTGCCATCTCATCAGAGGGGGGCTCTGATGTGATGGGAGAGCTTCTAATGTAAAAGGGGGGCTCTGATGGGGTGGGGGAGCTTCTGATGTGAAAGGGGGGTGGCTCTGATGTAATGGGGGAGCTTCTGATGTGAAAGGGGGGCTCTAATGGAATGGGGAGATTCTGATGTGAAAGTGGGGACCTCTGATGTTATGGGGGACCTTCTGATATGAAAAGGGGACTCTGATGTAACCGGGGACCTTCTGATTTAAAAGGGAGGACTTCTGATGCCAAAGGGGAGACTGTTTTATTTTCAGCCCAAGAATATTTGTAAAATATACAAAATGGCCCTGAAAAGATTTAGGACCCCAATCTTAGACATTTTTAGGATGGCAGTATCTACATATTTGGAAATCCATAGGACATTCTCTGAAACTGCCTATTATTAATGACAGGTGACCGAGCTGGCTGGCTATACAGCACGGGTACATGATATGTTTGAAGTGTTCGAAGATGTGCAGAAGGGAGTCTACAAGCGCCCAGGAGAACTGGAAGAAGATAAACCCAAGAAGAGAGATGTCATCCAGCATGGGATCCGCATTGAAGGGCCCCTGGAGATTAAAGGTATATTTATAGTTTAAAATATATACTAAGCCATATGTGAGGTTCGTGAGCTGAGCCATGTCCAGACCATTTGCTGTCATTGACATTTAACCCTATAGACAGAAATTCAGCCGTCTTCTAAAAATGTGCCATATTTCCATGGGCTAAGTCCAATGAGATGCATGCCACCTACTGGACTAATGTCTTTCATTTACAATTTTACTAAACGCCCGGAGCATAGCTATCACAATACTCTTGGTGCACCGAAGCTGGACCTTCTGGTTTCAGTTCTTGCAGCTGTAGCCTTCTTCCCAATTACAGATCACTTTGTATTATGTGAACTCATTCACATAACACAAAACCTTTTATGAATAGACAGTGATGGAGAGGAATGGGGCGGGTAGAGCAGCTGCGGTGTGAGGAAGTAGTCTGTACTGTCAGAGTGCCAGAAATATAGTGAAAGCTGTACTTCTGGCACTCAATAAAACTATCAGTTGTTAATAGTAGCTAACTCCATGAGGTGGCATGCACCTTGTTGGACTTAATTCGTAGTAAGCCACATTTTACAAAGTGTTCACTGTTTACCACTGACAATGAATACTCTGAATCCAACACGCTTTCAAGAGTTTCAGATGCCTGTTTCCTCCCAGGGTGTTATGGTTGCTTCCACCAATCGCATTGCTACTACTGTAATGACTTGGGGTCAGCAGATGAAACCATAGTACCCGGCAGGGAATCAGGAGAAAAGGGGAAGGTGTTCTTTAGTCCTTCCTGGTTCAATACTTTTATTAAAACCTATAACATTTCAGTACAACTGGTCCTCCCGCACAGGGGTATAAAGCAACCAGGTAACAAACCGGGCGATGGCTATATCAACTTATCTTAATATAAAATTATTTACAGTGCAGTCATACGCCTTAAGCAGCAGGACAGCGTTAATGACCCAGGCTCTAGTCCTGAGGGCTCAAAAAATAAGTATGAAAAACTACAGAAATAATATTTATATTGTAATTAAAGGTAAAGCAAGATAGAGAAAGAAGAAGAAAGAGACAGAAAGAAGGGGACTGGAAGAGCAAGGGGAGGGGGATAGCGGAAGTTCCTGCAGGCCTGGGTGGAAATCAGAAAATACCCAAACCAAATGGGGATAGGGTAGGAAAAGCATAGGTCCACCATGGACTCCATACTTTCAAAAATTTTGCATGAGAATAGTGTAGGATGCTGGCCATCATTTCATGCAACATCAGGGTTGTCAGGTTAGTTATAATCATGCAAAAAGGTACTGATGGTTTCTTACACGCCTTGGCAATGACACATTTGGCAGCTATAAACAGGTAAGTGGCTAATATTTGTTGGTGAGAGAACAAGCCCCTAATTGGACAATGTAACAGGGCAAGTTTAGCTTCTTTGGAGATATGAAGTATAGGGGACCAAAAACCTTGAACCAGAACCCAGTGAGATGTGGACACGACCACAAGGTATGATCCACGTCATTCCATGGTCCACTGCCTCATCATCATACTCTGGGTTGGAGCTTGCAATGCGGGCAGGGACCCAGTACCACCTCAAGAGGACTTTATATGCAGCTTCCATTGTGGACGTGTTGAATGAACAACGAGAGATAGAAGACTAGGCTTTAGTCCAATCCTCTGGTTCAATGTGGGAGTCAAGATCTCTCTCCCAGCTAGACTTGTAAGAAATGGAGAAATAGAGTCTACAGTGTTCAGTGAGGAATAAAGAAGAATGATAGTGCCCTGAGGCACCCGGGCAGTGCTGACAAAGGTGTTCAAAGGCCGTGGACCTAGAGGGAAACGTAGAGTTGCATCTCAGGGAAGATATCCAATGGCGGAGCTGAACATATCGAAAAAACTCAGTTGGCAGTGCATCATAAGCCTCGCAAATAGAGGACCAAGAGGGAAAGGTACGTGAGGTGAGGAAGTGTCGAACCTGGGTGAAGCCATGAGTTGCCCACCAACTAAACGATGTTGGCTGTTCAATGCCTGGGGGAAAGAGAGGATTGTTGAGTAACGGTAAAAAGAGGCAGAAAGGGGGACATAAGGTTGCCAGAGTAGTGGACTGAATCCCAGACTTTCAAGCTGTGGAGCATTAGGGGACTAAGTAAGGAGGGGAAACCACAGCAGAGCCGTTACAGGAAGGGGAGCACAGTTGGGAAGTTCCAGGAATATCCACATGTTGGGCGATCTGTGCCGCTTTATAATACTTTGCCACATTAGGAACTCCCAGATCACCTCTTGAGTCTATGGGTGTACAGTGTAGAGCAAGAGACTCTGGGGCGTTTCTAGGCCCATATAAAAGAAAGAATCCTGTTTTGTAGCCGTAAAAAAAAAGGAAGGTACCCGAATGGGAAAAGTTCGAAAGTAATAGAGGATTTTTGGGAGGATGGTCCTTTTTATACCATGTATACGGCCAATCCATGATAAGGAGTGTTCTCTAGTCCTTGAAGCGTAACTAAACTGTATCTGAGCACCACATACTGAAAATGCTATTTAATTCATTTTTGATATTTAAAGCAAACTCCCCCATCCACCCATGTCTCCATGCTTTATTTAGATGAGAAGGTGCTTTGAAAAACACACCCCTAGCCATGGCCATCTTGAGTAATAGCAGGTGATTCATGTAGCATTTACTTCCCAGATTCCATCTGCCCTTAGCTCAGACATGCAGGTCGGAAGGTGTGTTTAGCTGAGAAAACCCCCTCTTCCCAGATTAAACAAAAAATTCCATGAGGACTCCTGAGATGTATGAATTCTTTTTGTCCTAGGCCACAAACCAGGAAGCAACTGAAGAAATGTAAAAAAAAAAGTTTAAAACAAGTAAATATAATATACCTTCCTTTCTATTTACTAATGCTAGTAGCATATGGATTAAAAATAGTTCATGTTGATTGAGAGACTTTAGTTTCACTTTAAACACTTCCTATCCTTGGCTGACAACTCTACTTCTCCATAGATGCAGTACAATGAGTGAGCGTTGTCACCTTAGGACAGAAAGTGTGTTACTGTCAGGGTCAGCAGATATGCAGAGCCAGGAACTGAGCACATCGATCTAACAGAATCCCAAATGAAATGGTTAGGGAGAATCTACCCACAGTATAATATTACAGATGTTATATAGTTACTCCGCTTGAAAAAAATGAGAAATGCCTTGCATCCTCTGAACTATGACCCTGCCTGCATTCATGTATGGTAATACACGTCGTATGATTCATTTCTACAAATGACATGTCTCAAAGTGTGATCACCCCACCTCTGATAGGTGAACACCAGGGAGTGGCCAGCACAGGACCAGGTGACATCACCTGCCTATGATGATATGATCAAATACTATTTCCATGGATGTTATTGCCTGTTCCACGCAGGCAAGTATGATGTGTGTCATTTAGAAAAAAAAAATAAGGGCTTGCAATCACTTTAAAGTGGTTGTAAAGTCTCAAGGTTTTTTACCTTCATGCATTCTATGCATGAAAGTAAAAAACTTTGTATGTGCAGCAGTGCCCCCAGCCCCCTCAGTACTTACCTTAGCCTCATCACGATCCAGCGATGTGCATGACAGCCTCAGCTGTCCCGGATCTCTGCCTCCTCATTGGCTGAGACAGCAAGCGGAAGCCATTGACTCCCCCTGCTGTGAATCACAGGCAGTTAGCCAATGAGGAGAGGGGGCAGGACCAAGCTGCTTCTCCGTGTGTGAATGGACACACGAAGCAGCAGCTCGAGAACACACCTACTCGGGTGCCCCCATAGCAAGCTCCTCTGTCCAATTGCATTTCACAGATCAGCTCCAAACCTCCTCTTCTTGGGTCCCCTGCCAGTGCTCTTGGCTCCTCCTCTCTGTCCAGTGCCCCCATGGGAAGCCGTTCCCCATGGGGGCACTTGTGCGTGTTCACTCCCAAGCCCCACTGCTGCATCCATTGATACAGACAGAGAGACTCGGCACCGCCCCCCCACTCCCTCGTTACTGATTCCCAGTGTCCCAGGAAAGCCAGTGAGACCCAGAAGTGAGGGAAGAGAAGAGCAAGGAATGCATTAAGATAAAAAATTATTAGGGTTTATAACCGCTTTAAGGTAAAAAAAAAATCCTTGCAAAATTAACTCCCCCCCTTCCCAGATACTTACCTGAGCCCGATCCCAATCCAGCACTGTGACTGAGAGCAGCATTGCTGTTCTTTCTCCTCACTGGACACTGACATTAAGCCATTTCTTCTACTGTCAATCAAATCCAGTGTGGAGAGAGCGTGGGGGGGCTGTGCCAAGCCACATTATGTGTGTCTATGGAGCGAGCCCACGTGTTGGCTCTGATAGCAAGCGCTTGTATGGGGGGCAGACACAGAAGAGCAGGAGTGGACATTGCTGGCGGGGGACCCCAGAAGAGGAGGATCAGGTCACTCTGTGCAATACCATTCCTCGGAGCAAAATACTGCATGTTTTCACTGCTAAAATAACTCATCACTTCAAGAATGTAAGTAAAAGAAAAGCTGGTATTATAAAATTAAAAAAAGACCCTTCGAGTCTGGTATGGGTTTTGAGAGGAACCTTATGGCACAAATTAAAAAAGAACCCCCGAAATCCGTATCAAACCCTTCTCCAAGCATGAAGTTCAGCAGGCCAGGAAAGGCCTGAACCATACCAGGCCACATGCCTCAATATGTGGGGGTGCGGGGTGCTTTGAGAAGGGGGCAAGAACCCCATCATATTTACCTCCGTCTGTGTCCTTGTAGATTTTCCCTCATTTCCTGTGCACTGATACTGTTGTCAGCTGGACAGAAAGTAAGGGGAAATCTCTCAAATGGAGATAGCAGTAAAAACCTTGGGGCTCTAATTCTTTTCCACATGATCCAAAAATGGAAAAAAACAAATGTTTTTGGCCTGACATTCACTTCAAAGAACACTGATTTGATACATGATTCATTTAGTTCCACCTAAAGGTCATGAAATATTCATTTCAGGTATGCAGGAAATGGATTAGGAAATGGGTTTGTACTCACTCGTTCCTCGTTTCGGGCGAGA